GACGGTTCAATTCCACATTCTAACGTCTCCCGTCCAGCCGATCATTCTGGGGCTCCCATGGTTAACCAAGCACAATACCCATCTTGATTGGGCCACAGGAACTGTTACAGTGGTCACCATCTTGTCACCAGCTGTGCCTCAAGGGGGCAGGATGTCCTCTGCTTTCGTCTCAGCCTGTTTCTGCATCAGACCTTACCAAAGCCCCCAGAGAGTACCATGACCTTAAGGAGGTGTTCAACAAAGCCAAGGCCTCTGCACTCCCTCCGCATTGTCCCTACGATTGTCCGATTGACCTTCTTCCTGGGGCCATTCCCCCCAGAGGTCGGCTCTATTCTATCTCCGCCCCCGAGAGACAGGCTATGGAGGAGTATATAAAAGATTCTTTGGCATTGGGATTAATCCGTCCATCATCTTCTCCTGCTGGGGCAGGATTATTTTTCATACAGAAGAAAGATGGCTCCCTGCGCCCCTGCATTGATTACTGGGGTTTGACCTTAGCTTGACCTTAGGAGTGCATACCACTTGGTCTGTATCCGTGAGTGGAAGACTGCCTTCAACACACCCACGGGACACTATGAATACCTGGGCATGCCTTTTGGTCTAACCAATGCTCCAGCCGTTTTCCAGAATCTGATCAATGACGTCCTCCGGGACATGCTCAACAGGTTTGTCTTTGTTTACCTGGGCAATATTCTAATATTTTCCCGTTCTAAGAGTGACATTGTCCACCATGTCAGAACAGTCCTCCAGTGCCTTTTCCAGAATGCACTATTCGTTAAACCTGAGAAGTGCGAATTTCACATATCCTCCACTGGGGTACGTCATTCATGAGGGGAACATCCAGATGGATCCCAGCAAGGTGTCAGCTGTCACCAACTGGCCTCGACCAGACTCCCAGAAACAGTTGCAAAGATTTCTGGGATTTGCCAACTTTAACCGGCATTTTATAAGGGGTTACAGCTCTGTCGCCGCCCCCCTTTCGGCTCTCACATCCACCAAGATGCCTTATGTCTGGTCACCGGCTGCGGAACACGCCTTTCAGACCCTCAAGACTCGCTTCACGTCTGCCCCAATCCTCTAGATGCCCGACCCGGAGAGACAGTTTGTAGTGGAAGTGGACGCTTCGGATGTTGGCGTAGGGACAGTCCTATCGCAGAGATGTGCCAAGGATCACAAACGTCATCCTTGTTCCTTCTTCTCTCGTCGTCTCACCCAGGCAGAGATGAACTATGACATTGGGGACAGAGAATTGCTTGCTGTGACGCTGGCGCTGTAGGAGTGGCGTCACTGGCTTGAGGGGGCTAAGCAGCCGTTCATTGTTTGGACCGACCAAGAACCTGGAGGACTTACGGACAGCTAGGAGGCTGAATTCACGGCAAGCGAGGTGGTCTCTTTTCTTCACCAGGTTCCGCTTTACCCTGTCTTATTGGCCAGGCTCAAGCAACAACAAGCCAGACTCCCTTTCAATACAGTTTTCAGGCAAAGGGGTGCCTGAGTCTCCGGAGGACACTCTTTTACCACCCGTCTGCCTAGTCGCTACCGTTACTTGGGACATTGAGCAGAAAG